GTGGGTCAGAGCTGCAGGGGTGTGTCCCAATTCAAGTCCACTCCCACCGTCCACTGCGTCTGCGTGCGGCACCTTGGCCAGTTCCAAAGTTCAGAGCTGGTGGGGGGGTCGCGAGCTGGGTCGGGTCAGAGCTGGCGGGGGGGTCGCGAGCTGGGTCAGGGGGAGCGATGCGATCGCATGTTGTGTTTTACACAATCATTTCTGTACACTGTTTTATATGGTTACTCACTATTGACCTATTACTTTCATCTCCTCATCTCTCCAAGTTCTCATTGCACCTTACCTAGTCCTTCACTGCCCTTTCACCATCCTCACCCCTGAAAAACATCCTGGCTGTACTTCTTCTAAGACATATTTGTTTGGTGTTTTGGAAGCCATTGGTATAGCCAATATTCCTCACCGACACCACAATTCAAAGGCATCAATTCTTCCTTGGTCTTCTTTACTCATTGCCCAACTTTCACATGCATATGAAGCAATTGAAAATACCATGACCTGAGTCTGTGCACCTTAGCCTTTAGGCTGACATCCTTGCTCTTCAGCATTTTAAATAGATCTTTGGTAGCAGATTTGCTGAATGCAATGTGTCTTTTGGTTTAGTTTCATTACTACTTCCATGAGTGTTGATTATAGAACCAAGTACAATTAAATACTTGACAACTTTAATGTGTCTCCACATACTAGATGTTGCCTACTGGTCCAACATCTGGTTGTGAAGGTTTTTGTTTTCTTCATTTGAGGTACTAATCTATACTATAGTTCTTGGTTTTATTCTGTAAGTGCTTCAAGTCCTTTTCAATTTCTGAAAAGATTGTGTAATCTGAATAACTGATAAGTGATGAGTCTCTCTCTAATTCTTCTTCATGTTGTCTAGCTTCTTGGAGTATTTTGTCAGCATACAGACTGCATAAGTATGGTGAAACACTATAACTCTCATACACACTTTTCCTGACTTTAAACCATGCAGTATTCACTTGTTCTATTAAAACTAATCACCATGACTTATTAAATGTAAGGGAAACTCACTAAATGTTTGTTTAGGAGTTAACTGACTAAGTGAACCTGCCCATTAGTTAACTATCTTATTTGTGTTACAACCTAAATGCAGGACAGTCTCATCTTTAGGATGTGCATAAGCATAGTGTTATTGTTGTTGTTAGCTGCTGCAGGTCAACCTTGACCTAAAGTGATCCCTTCCGCAAATAAGCAATACATTATGGGATCCTGCATGATTCCTATGATTGGTTGCAGGTCAGATCATTGACCCAAAGGGTTTTCACTGATATTTGTGAGTAGATCTCCAGGCCTTACTTTTTGTTCACTTTAGTCTGTAAACTGTTCAGCATGATAGTATGACAGAAGCCTCCACTGACAGAAGGGTAATGGTTGTGCCTGAGGAAGCTGAGAATTTCTCCCTCCCCCAACCACCTCCACATAAAACATAACTAGTCTACACAATATCACCATTATCAAGAAAGTTCTCTTCTCCATTAAACTTGTGATCAGCAGAGTTTTGTGTTGTGTTTTTCATGTGTGTGGTACAACAAAACCTTTTATTGCACGATTTGAGATGTGATTTGAAATATACCATTCAATCAAGACTTAAATAACACTAAGATATGCATGAGAGAGCCCTAGTGACCCACTGGTAAGGAGCTGCAAGGGCTACCTAAAGACATGCAGTTAGAATCCACATGCTTCTTCACAAGAGAGAAAGGCAATCTCTTCCTGTACAATTTAGTCCCTTTGAGAATCTGCTAGAGGGTCAACTGTGAGTCAGTTCTGACTCAACAGCACCCAATAACAAGTTATGTTGTAATAATTTCCTTTTCTAAAAATCTGCTTTATTTTTATTCATATTTTTTCTCATTGTGCACCATTGAGTTGGATCCAATTGTCTCTCCTTCTCCAGTGAAGCATCTGGTGGATTCAAACCATACACCTTCAGGATTGCAGGAAAATCTGCTTTAATGGAGATTAAGAGAATGTGGAAACAGTGGGGAAAATAATAAAAAGTCATGTTGCATTGGGAAAGTCTCCTTCTAATGATCTTTCTGAAGTGCTAAAGAGCTATCTATAATGTCTGTTTAAAGATTAAGGTGTTCCTGATTCCAACCATGGCATTTTCAATTGTTTCTTATGCATCTGAGAGCTGGACAATAAGGATGAGAGAAGAATCTATCCCTCTGAATTGTGGTGTTGGAGAAGAGTACCGAACATCTCATGAACTAATAAAAGAAGAAACAAATTTTCCATGGAGGACGTATAACAAAGGTGTTCCTTAGAACCAAGGATGGCGAAACTTCATCTTACAAACTTTGGACATACTGCCAGGAGGGAGCTGTTCTTGGAATAAGGCATCATGTTGAAAAAGTTGGAGGGTTCGAGAAAGAGAGGAAGACCCTCAACAAGATGGACTGACATGGTGACTGTAAGAATGGGCTTGAGCAAATCAGAGATGGTGATGTCACAGGATAGGGCACATTTCAGATTCCCTGTTCATAAGGTCGCTATGAGTCGTAGTCAATCAACTTGATGTCACCTAGAAACAATAACAAATCTCCACCCACATGTCTTACTGTCTCTGAAAACATACTGGAGGGTCATCTGTGGGTGGTTCAACTTCACAGTGCACAATAACAACAACAACAATAACAAAAAAAGATGAGGTTTTGTAGATTCTGAACTGTCATGTGGTGTACTCTGTGATCTGCACTGTTGAAGAGGAAATGAATTGTGTCATTTAGCGGCTGGTGATCAATCCTTCTGCCAAGTTATAAAAGGGCTCTTCTTTATTTCCTCCTTCTTATTATCCAAGAGACTGTGGACCTTCTCCTTAGTTTTACCTCACAAACAGCTGTGTTACTGATTTGAAATGAAAATATACAAACAACATAACTTTTTTTATTTCATACTGGCTGAAAACTGTGACTTGGAAGTACAGTGGAGCAGATCACAGAGAATTTTATTTATTTGTCCCCTACATAACAAGGGCCCATCAATCTGCTTTTGCTATTATCAAAATAGTCATCACAAACACCATAATGAAAAATATCCACATGAAGAATCGGTCTATCACTTTTGCAACCTTCTTCCACTCACTCCCCTGGGAGTTGGTGGCCTTGTGGTCTTTGAGGCACTTGGCAATGTACTCAATATTCTTTGTTAGCATGTCATACCGTGCACAGTAATTGTCAGTATCCTTCGGGATCTCACCCTGGAACCCCAAGTCATTCTTTAACAGTGTGTTGACTTCCTTCTTTCTGGAAAGGTCTTTGTTCCTGGCTGTTTTCACACTGGGTTCCGGGAGCTTACCATAAACCTTTGTGAAGTGGTCTCGCCCTCGGTCATGGCGTGGGGTAAGGCAGCTCTCACCCACGTCATAGACAAACAAGATCCTGGACATGTACTTCAGGATGACCACTCTGGCCCACTGTGGCACTGGCCGTGCCTCAGCCCCACAGAAGTGGATATTCATCACCATTATGGTCAAGGCGGTGGAAGCTGTGATTAAGGCCATTGTTGCTATGTAGTATTTACCTGGAATCAAAACAATAATAGCAACCAAGTCAGTGTAAAGAAATCAAGATCATGTCAAACATGGTTGGATCACAGTTGAGTGGATTGAGCACTTGTGGTACATTCACACAATGGAATACTATGCAGCACACAGAAACAATGATTTTAAAAACTGCTGGACTGGAGAGCATTATGCTGAGTGAACTAACTCAGTACCATAAGGACAAATACTACATAAACCCATTGTGATAGAAATGGAATGATAACTAGTGAAATTTGTATGAAGATCCAAGGATGGGAAGGTAGGAGAAAATAAGTGAAGACAGGCAGGGAGGAAATCATAGGGTCACACAATTTGATGGGTGGAGGGAGAAGGTAGGTCAAGGAAAAGGGAAAGAGCCAGCAGGGATCTGGAAATACAGGGCAGTGGTGGGCACATTTGAATGTTGATTAATTTTATAAAATATAACAAATGGTAATGATTGTGTGAAAAAAGAATAGTGTGAAAAAGCAATGTATATAAGCTTTGTAAGCAAACCAGTTGTTGTTGTTGTTAAGTGCCATCGAGTCGCAGGGGACTCATAGCAACCCTATGAAGAAGAGTCCTCAATGCTTGGGTGTCTATCATCCTCTCTCCAGGTTCATAGGATTTCCAGAGGCAAGATATTACAGAAGTGGATGCCAATGTATATGAGCTTTGTAAGCAAAACCATATAAAACAAAAAAAAAATTTATTTTTTTTTAAGAAAACAAAAACAAAAAACAAACAAAAAAATGCTATGATAAGAGACTTCTGAACCAGACTTCTGGGTTAAAAATCCCAGTTCCGCCACTTATTAGACACATGACCTGTGGCAAGTTATATAACCTTACAAAGCCTCATTTTACTCCTTTGTAAAATGTAAGATGTAATATTATCTAATTCTGAGGACTATGATCTTGCTAGATTGGACTGACACTAGATTGGATTAACACTAGATTGGATTGACACATTGAATTTCTCAGCACCATCTCTGCCAAAGTTAAATCTATGATGTGTTTCCTGACAGCATGCTATGGAAAACTTTGGTATGTCAAAAAACAGATCATGAGCTTGCTTAGTTCTTTAAATTGTTTTCAGACTCTGGTGGCCTAGTGAGGAAAAATGCTGAGCTGCAATCCAGAAGGCATGCAGTTCAAATCCCACCAGTTGCTCTGTGGGAGAAGAATGGACAATCTCCTCCTGAGCAATGAGCAGTTAACTGCCTCTGAAAACCTGCAGGGTTTTGGTTGGATGATACACAACAATAATAACAACATTCCTACTGAGAAAGAAAGGAGTGATATTGTGTCACTATTCATCTTAAAGGAGCATAGCCTTTAACATACTGGAATGATCTGATATTTCCAACAGTTCAAATCTGCCAGCACCTCCTTGAGGGAAAGATGGGAAATATCCTCCATGAAGATTTACAGCCTTTGAATCCTGATGGAGGGTTAGTGAGAGTTGACACCAACCCAATGGAAGTGAGTTATAGTTATATGTGAGCTATTAGTCTTTAACATGTAATTGTATAGAACACATAGTCATGAAAAGGAAAATAAAGTACAAAGAAAATAAGGGCACAAATCTATGAAATATAAAACAAAACAATTGAGGAGAGGAGCAAAAGCAAGCTATTTGAAAAGAGTAATAAAATAAGGGGAGCTCTGGTGGCCTAGTGGCAAGAAACTGCACTGCAATCCCAGAGGCGCATGGTTCAAATCCGGGGAAGGAGGAACAATCTCCTCCTGTACCAGTCAGATCCGATTTGACGGTACACACACACACACACACACACACATAAAATAATAATAATAAAATTTTTTAAAAAGAGTAATAAAATAGATGAACCTGTGATAAGATTGCTCAAAGGAAAAGAGAGAGGGATAAAGACAAGATATAAAAGACAAAATTTAGAAAATGCTAACACAACATTCCTATTGTAATACACATGGTAGCCTAGATCAAATAGTTAAGTTTCTAGAAAAACAGATGTCAAAAGTAGTTCAAGGAGGCTTCAGAGTTTCATCATATAATATAGAGTCTTAAAATAGAACTACTCTCCCATGTTATATAGTATGTCATGGAATTGTTATTCTTTAGTGCTGCATAGCACTCTGTTGTGTAAACGTATCACAATTACACAATCCGTCCATTTGTTGTTGGGCATTTGAGCTGTTTCCATTTTCTTGCTATTGTAAATTCTCTGTTTACAATTATGATGTGTGAACTAACTCAGTCTCATAAGGACAAATATTACATAAGACCATAACTATAAAACTAGAAGAACAACCAATTGTGTTTTTGTTGTCGTGTACCATCGTGTCGATTCTGACCCATAGTGGATACTCCAGCAGGTTTTCAGAGGCAGATTGCCCATCCTTCTCCTACGGAGCAGCTGGTGGATTCTAGCTGCATACCTTCAGGATTACAGTGTGACTTCTTACCACTCGTCCATCAGAGCTAATGTCCAAAAGGGGAAGAGGGAAAGGCGGAAGTGAGTAGAAAACAGGGAAGGGTGGAAGTCACTAGGATAGCAGAGCTTAGTGAGTGGATGTAGAGAGTGAAGGAATAGGAAAGATTCAATGAGGACAAGAAAAGATGGAGAAATAATAAGCATAGAGCAATAATAATCCATTACATAAAGTATAATATATATGAATGTACAAAACACAATGTATATGAACTAAACAATGAAACAGAAAGATTGTATTAAAAACAATGTACATGAATGAAACACAACATATTCAAATGATTGTATGAAAATCAATAAAAAAATAGATGTTCTTGTTGTTAGGTGCTGTTGAGTCGCTGCCTATGACTCATAGTGACCCTATGTACAACAACCCTAAACCCTCCTCTATCCTCTATCTAGCCAACATTATTATCTCTGACACACCTACCTCCCATTACCCTTGTCCCTGAATCAATCCATCTCATTGAGAGTCTTCTTCTCTTGGGTTACCCCACCACCCTCCCAAGCATGACATCCCTCTCCAAGGACTGGTCCCTCCTTGCAACATATACAAAGTATTTCAGATGAAGCTTTAGAATCCTTGCCTCCAAGGAGCAGCCTGGCTTCATCCTCTGTAGGACAAACCTGTTCTCCTAGCAGTCCATGGTATATTTAATACTCTTCTCCAGCACCACAGCTCAAAGGTTTCCCCTTCTATCATCTCTAGTCACTGTCCAGCTGCAAGAAGGCCAAGGACTACAGCTTTAAATATGGATCATTAACATGGTGACTACAGCAATGGGTTCAAGTGCACCAGAGATGATGAGGAAGGCACAGGATACAATAGGATTCAGTTCTGTTGTTCATAGCATCTTTATGAGTCATATTAGACTTGACAGCATCTGACAAAAACCAACAAAAATCTTTCTATCTAACTTAAATACTTCAAATAAAATCTATGTCCTTTTAAAATAAAAAATATATATGGATTGAAGCTCAACATTAAGAAAACAAAGATTCTCACTACTGGGCCAATTGACAGCATCATGATAGATGACAAAGAAACTGAGATTGTTATCAGCGTTAATTTGCTTGGCTTCACAATCAACACTCTTGGTACCAGCAGCCAGGAAATTAAAAGACAAATTGCACTGGGAACACCTGCTGTCAGAGACCTCTCCAAAGTACTAAAGAGCAACAATGTCATTCTTGAAACTAAGGTGTGCCTGTTTCAGGCCATAGCTTTTGAAAAAAAATAGATAAACTTATATTAAAGAAGCTGCTCATTATATCAGCCAGTCGTATTCCAAAGAACATATGTTTATGGCCTACTTCATTTATATTCCCATCGTCTGTTTATGTGGACTTGGTAATACTTGCTGTGTATGTCTCCTTTCATGAGTCTATGGATTTTCTGTGTCTCTAATAAGATGTAGTCATGGGTTTGTTACTCATATCAAAAGATTCCTCTTGTCTAAGAAATCAGGAAACAAAAAAGCATGAGCAGTCCCTTTAAGACCCCTTAATGCAAATTTTTTATTGTATTGTATTGTAACTTGTGTAAATCTTTCTATAGGATGTCGCCATCTGCTGTCTCAGGGGTCTGCCAGCTATTCCAATTGTCCCTTTCCTTACCCATCTTTCTTTTTATACAGTATGCTGGAAATGACCCCACAAACTGACCTTTCTTGACTTTTTTTGGAAAAACATAGTGAAAGGAGAAAAAAAAAATCTGTGAATAAAAATGAAAAGCAAATACTTCCTCCCTTCCTCCTCTCAAAAGGCTTTAGATCTAAAAGGTTTTGGAAGTGAGTTTCATAAAACTTTCAAGGAATGGATAGATAATTTCTATCTATGCAAGTTGTTCCAGAGTAGGAAAGGAGAGGAAGCCGCACCGTTCCTTTTGTGAAGTCATGTTAGCCTTGATTCTGAAACTCTCAAGAATGGTGATTTTAGGACTCATTTAATTACAGATATATTTGAGGAAATCTTACAAAAGGTAATTGACTAATAGAATAGAACTGAGCCCAACATATGTGCATCAGAGACCTGAACAATAACTAAGGATGACAAAAGAAGAATCAATGTCTTTGAGGTGTGCTTCTGGAGAAGGGGATTGAGCATACCATAGACTGCCAAGAGAACAAACAGATCTGTCCTAAAGAGGGTGAAACCACGCAAGGATTTTGAAGCTCCATCTCCCATAATTTAGGCATGTCACCAGGGAGGATCGGTACTTGGAGAAGGACTTCATGCTTGGAAGGGTAGAGGGTCGGTGCAGAAGAGGAAGACCCTGGATGAGCTAGATTGACACAATGACTGTGGCAATGATGAGGTATTAGTGAAGGGAATATACTGTGACCTGACAAAAGAACAAACTCATGGAAGAAGTGTCACCACAGTGCTCCTTAGGGACAAAACCGGCAAACTTAATAGAACACTTTGATCATGTTGTCAGGATGGACTAATATTTGGGAAAAGACATCAAGCTGGGGAAAGCAGAGAGTTAGCAAAAGAGAGGAAGATCTTCAGCAACATAGATGGACACAGTGACGGCAACAATGAACTTGAGCTTGGCAGAGACTGTGATGAAGGAGCAGGAAAGGGCAAGTGTCTGATCTGCTCTTCGAGCCAGAGTAGACTTGACAGCACAAAACAACATACTTAACTATGCTTTAAGGAAATAGACACAATAGGAAATTATGAGTATTTATAATTATTCTCCAGACACATATGCATCTTTCTTAAAAAAGATCACTTTTACATAATCATACAAACAGATCAAGTGATTTGTGTAAAATTCCCATGAGATATCTCAGTTCAGAATTTTTTTTTCTCAGTTCAGAAATTAAACTCTCTTACTGGTTAATGTTAATTGCTAAAGAAGAGAGAAATCAGCCAGTTAGTCTTACCTCAATAGGGTTTGAGTGTATGAAAGATTGAATGAAAATCAATATGGAAAATGTTAATTTAAAGGAAAAAAGAGGACTGAGTATGTGTGTATCATTTGGAGAGACAAAATTAAGAACCTTCCAGGAAAAATCGATGTGGTAATATTGTGAGAATATTGAGTAATACTAAATTCAGTAGCAGAAACTCTGGTGGCCTCATGGCAAGGAGTTGCGCTGCCAGCCCAAAGCACTTCAAATCCACCACCTGCGTTAAAGGAGAAGGATGGGCAATCTTCTCCTCTGTGGTTAACAGCCTCTGAAAACCTGCTGCAGGGTCAGCTATGGGTCAGTTCCGACCTGACAGTTGTTGTGTTGTAGTTATATGCCATCGAGTTGCCTGCTATACATAGCAACCCTATGTACAATGGCCCTAAACCCTGCGTCAATCTCAATGTCTCTGACACACCTACCTCCATTACCCCAGTAACTGAATCAATCAATTTCATTGAGGGTCTGCCTCTCCTGCGCTGTCCGTCCACCCCCCCAAGCATGATGTTCCCCTCCAAGGATTGGTCCCTCCTTTGCAACATGTCCAAAGTACACAACAAAACCAAATCCAATAGAGCGCAAAAAAGGCATTAGAATATCCTTTGTTATTGATCTTCAAGTCTCTTGATACTATGACATTTTAAGGAACTAACAAGGAACTGTAACTTCTAGCTTCTGATTCTGGCAACCATTGATTACAACAGCAAGTCCTTGTGATATTGAGGTGGAGGTGATGGAGCTGAGAGGTCTGCTGGGAAGACAGGAGGAAACCAGGCCAAACTCTCTGCTGTGGAGTCAGCTCCAACTTATAGCAACCCTGTGCGGCTTCTGAGGCTGTGTGTCTTTATTGAAGGAGAAAGCCCATCTCACGAAGTAGAGGGATCTTCTGGAAGCAAGAAGCAGGTGCTAAAGGCAGCAGGGGGATCTCTCCTCAGATCCAAGGAGATGAAGGAGGGCAGTATCTTCATGATACTTAGAAAGATGGTTCATGATTATAGATTTTGGGAAACAAGGTCTATTTTAGAATTAGCACTAGTACTTCTTAGGACTGCCTATTTCCCGATCATCTTGTTCAATGTAAATAATTTTTTTAGGTGTGAGAATCTGCACTTTTTAAGGTGAAAGTAAAGACAGTTTTATTAGAAAAGCTACATTCCAGAGAGCAAGACAGATTATCGTCTGTAAGTAAAGTAGAATAGAGAAAGACAGAGAATCTATGTTTTTAATATACTTTCACAAAACTTTAATGGCCCAAACAAAAATTAGGAATTATTCCCCTAGGGATAGACTTAAAAAAAACTTTAGCTCATGTCAATCATATTTACCACTATTCCTAAGAAGAAAACTTTTTTGAAAAAAACAAACACACAGAAAAAGTAAACCAAACCACTAGCCACTAGTCACTACTGGGTGGTGAATCATATGCCAGGTTCTTGACTGAGCTGATAATACAGTGAGGCAACACGTAAACAATGCTCCAGATGACTAAGCTTAGGCTAAGAGATGGAGCAACTTGCCTAAGGTTAACTGAGACATGAGTGGTGAAATCAGAGTTCAAATGTAGGTTTCTCTGACTTCCAAATCAGAAAGGGCCTCCGAATCAAGCAGAGGGCTTGATGAAACAAGCTGTGTCTATATTAAAAAAAACAAAAAAAAAACCACACAAAAAAACAAACCAAAAAAAAAAAAAACACAAACCAACTACAGTCACCAAATGAATTATGTGAGAGCCAGTATTGACTCCGAAGTTGGTCCCAATATTATTACTTCAAAGGCCCATGCCAACCCCAGTTGTGAGTACAAGTTGTGTGTGAGACAATTGGACTCACCTATGAGAGGGACATTTTCAGAGGCCGGCATGATCTCTGCCACCATAAGTTGAAAAACAGTCATGGCCAAGAGGATTGTTACTCCTAAGGATACTTTTTCCCCAGAGGCTGCGGGCAGGTAAAAGCTCAAGGGAGCCAGAAATGAAATGAGAACGCACGGGATGAGGAGGTTGACGATGTAGAAAGAGGACCTCCTCTTTAGAAGGAGAGTGAATGTCACGTCCGGGTAAGGCTCCGAGCAGCAGCCATAGGAGATGACATTCTTCACAGCAGGCATGCCGTGCACCTCCCATTCCACGTCTTCAATGAAGTCAGAGAGATCGCCGCTGTCCAGAGCATTGAATATGTCCACCTGATTGCCATTGTAGGTCCAGGAACCAAAAGTCAAGTTGCACTGCTGCTTATCAAAGGGGAAGTAGGTGACATCCACCACACAGGAGCTCTTGGTGATGGCTGGCGAGTCCCAGGTGATCAGCCCGTCGTACCGCAGGACCACATTGGTGTTCACTGGCTCTGAAGACTCATCATCTGCCCTGGAGGTCAGAGAGGAAAATGAAAGCTACTGTTGAGAACTTTGCATCTTCCTTACCCAAGACAGCTCACTGCCCCACGCCTGTCACTTGAGTGTCATTTCCCATGTTGTGGTTGTGTGCCATCAAGTCAGAATTGACCCATAGGTGATCCTCCAGTGGGTTTTCAGAGGTAGTGAATCATATGGGAGGAGACTGACATCTTTCTTTACCCATGAATCACCATTTCCCCAGCTCTCCAGCTAGAAAGCTTGGAATCTAATTTATCTCTATCTCACAAGTTTTCTAAGAGTTTTTAAAAAGCATCAGTGGAAAAAAAAGGAAGAAAACTCAAAAAGCATCAGTGCTCAGTGTTCTTTCTTCCCTGTGTCACCACTTTCTTGGTCCAGGTATACTTACACATCTAGGTATATATACATCTCCAGGTATGCAGACACGTCCAGGTATATTCACACATCTAGGAATACTCACACACCCAGGCACACTCACACATCCAGGTACACTCACACATCCAGGTATATTCACACATCCAGGAATACTCACACACCCAGG